CTTGAGGTCTCCCCTCAGTCTCCTCCAGGCTGAACACACCAAATGCCCTCAGCCACTCCTCATATGGCATCTCCTCCAGACTCTTCACCGTATTTGTTCCCCTGCTGTGGACACTCTCTAATAGCTCTGTGTCTTTCTTATGTTTTGGTCCCCAAAACTAAACACAGGATCCCAGGTGAGGCCACCCCAGGTCAGAGCAGAGCAGGACAGTCACCCCCTTTGACTGGCTGGAGATGCTGTGCCTGATGCCCCCCAGGACTTGACCATCGGATGAGGAATAACAATCTCTGTTCAGGCTGGGAATTGTGAGAAGGATTAATTTTGCCTGTTGGTTAGGGGTTTTTTATTTTCAAAATTACAATGGCAGTGATGAATTAGAAAAGCTTTGTTGATTTTCTGTTCCCTGGGCTTCATATTGTATCATGTTTGGAATAGAAGAGAGAGCAAACTTTTCCTCAGCCACCTTCTTCATTACTTAAAGGGTTGGACTCGATGATCCTAAAGGTCTTTTCCAACAGAAATGATTCTGTGGTTCTGTGATTCACAAGTTACTTTACCTGAAGTATGTTGTCCTCATGAATTTGCATTGCAACCAGTTCTCTTCATGCTGGCACAGGGACCATCTGCCCTTTCTGTATTTTCTCCCAGCAAGGCATGACCCAGACCTCCACCACCAACCCCATAAAAGTTGTTCTGAGTGAAATCCTTCATGAATTCCAAATAGGAAACCCTGGGAGGTTTCCTACCCTAGCCAAAGGTAGGTAGGTAGGTAGGTAGGCAAACTTCATTTTGATCTCTGCTTTTTTATTGTTTTCTTCCTCAAAGAAAAGGAGGAAAAATGTGCTTTTTCCAAGGCCTGGTGGAGGAAAGGCCTCAGGCTGGTTTTGTGGGTGTTTTCAGGATATCCACCATTCCAGTCTTCCTGTTCTGTAGCTCATACCAGGCAAACTCCCAGAAATATTTAGCATGAGATAAGACCATCTGACCCTTTATTGTACTTTGAACATCTCATGCAGTTAACTAATATTCTGATCAGGTGTAAGGAAAATGTTGTTGCTCCACATAACTGCTGGATCTTCCTGTTTTCTTTCATCATTACACTCCTGCTTTTCCCCCTTTCTTTTGACAGCAGTAAAGTATTGGGTCTGAGTGGGTTAATTTTCTTTTCACTGTGACTTTTTCCTTACAGGTGTTCAGCAAAGGTAAATCAAAGAGGCTGTACTAATTCTGCCATTATTTCCAACGTGTCTCATTTGTTTTAATCACCTTCATCAAAACTAATTTAGATGAGGCTCGTTCTCAAGGACATGTAATGTACATCTCAGTTGAAAATAGAACAGTCAGTTGGGTTTTGGTGATGAAGAAGGAAACGCTCCATTTCCTGATCAGACAGAAGTTGGAGATGGGCAGGTTTTGGGGCTGTTATTGGAGGAGGGGGCTGCAAAGTCCCCTAGTTCTACCTTTCTGCCCAGAGCAAAGTTACACAGAAGCAGCTGGGAAGCATTTAGAATCCTCTGCAATGTAATGAGGAGGTTGGAAAATCTCTTGGGAATTAAAATAACATAACCTGGGCCTCTGACTTTTTCAGCAAGTGCTCAATAAGTAGTTCTGGAATAAATTCTTTCACTACCAACTTTTCCTAGAAAGCCATAGAAAACCCTGGATGCTCTCGAATGCTCCATGACATTAAATGGGCTTAAAAACTCACTGATCCAGGAGAGGGAACACCTTCCTCCTCAATAACAACCTCATTTAAACCTCAGATAAGCACCAAGCTGGAGCTTTCAGGTGTCAGGCAGCAGCTGGGAGGGTCTGTGTAGTAAGTTGTAAGGGGTTTATGTCTTTTACTTTTTAAATATTACCTTTTATGGCTTCACTTGTAACTCTGTTGACAAGATCTCACATTATCAAGCTAAAGAACTTGCTGTGAACTTTGTAGGTGACATATGAGTGTGCTGATAAATGGAAAAAAAACCCAATTTATATTGCACACTTTGCATTTCATGCTGCGAGTTGCATTGTACACTTCCCATTTCAATGCTGGAAGGATCTAGGGGATCAAGTGGCAGCAGATCTCACAGGTGCAGCCCAGAACTGACCTTCTCTCTGTGCTGAGAGACTTTTATTAGAAAAGAACACTTGGGCTAGTCTTCCCCTACAGGTGTTTTTCATTTATCTTTTGTAAGGAGTATCTTTTTGCAGGAATCTCAGTGGTGTTCTCATAAACAACGTTCACTTGGTGCTTATTGGAGGTTTTTATGTGGCTTCTCCTTCCTGAAGAAAAGAATGAGTTGCCTAAGGAGGCTGTGGGGTCTCCATCTGTGGAGATGTTTAAAATGTGACTGGATGTGGTCCATCCCAGGAAACCTGTTCCAGCTGCCCCTGCCTGTGCAGGAGGGTTGGAGTGGGTGATCTTGAGAGGTCCCTTCTGACCTCAGCCATTCCATGAATTAGTGGGTGATCTTGAGAGGTCCCTTCTGACCTCAGCCATTCCATGAATTAGTAAAAACTGCAGGTAAGGAGACATTTCAGCTCATGGAACTGGAGTTACAGGCCAGGCTTTTGAAGGGCATTGACATCCCAACAGAAGTTTGCCCCTAATTTCACACTATTGGGAAGTGCAAAAGTACTGGTTTCAGTGTCCTAATTCAGTGATATATCATCACCATTTACTTCTCCTGGCTACAAGAGGACATTTTCCAGCCTGTGCAGATACATGGAAACTAAAAGTTTAGAGAAACTGCATTTTTAACTCATACTGTGTCTGGGTGTGACTCTCTAGCAGGAACCAGATTGACTCTCAGGTATATAAAACTCTTAATTTACGAGAAAGAAATAAGGACCTGTATGTTGGCAGGATTGAACACTGTCATGTTTGCTTTATAGCAGATAACCTGACAAAAGAATGGCCACTTCATGAACAAGTTTACCTTGAGGACATGTCCTGGAATGAAGGTATGAATGTGCCTTACTCTCCTTCCAGTGCCTTTCACTGTCACTGCAAATGTTTTCTGTTTTTTCTGTACCTTACACTACTGTAAATTCTGCTTTCTCTGGATTTCCTCAGATAAAGCTGTTTTGCTCTCTGAGATGACCTGAACTGGAACTTAACTTCCTGTGACGCTTGTTTTACATCCCTGCTCCATCTCTTCCCCCCACCCTCACCTGCAGTACTACTTTTCACCCCTTGTAGTATAATTGAGTCATTAGATTCTTCCCAAGCCCCTTGTGCATCTTCTTGCTCTTTCTGTGATGGTAGAATGCAGGTGTTTCCATACAGGTTCTTTTTTATCTGACAGCGTGCTATTTCCCTCCTTTTTATTACTCTGGCTTTTCTCATTTACTTGCTTTTGGAATGAAGGGCTGATTTTTTGTCTTTCACTTTTTGGTTGGTTCGTTGGTTGGGTTTTTTTATTTTGTTTTTTGTTTGTTTGTTTGTTTGTTTGTTTTGTTGTTTTTTTTTTTTTTACTTTTAAGCTGTGAGGGGAAAAATCTGCTCTACTTTCCTCTGTTCTGTGTTGTTCCCTGGGTTAGCAATCTGTTTTGGAAGCATCCTTGGTCTTTCATAGGTATGACACCCCTTAGTTTTTATTTCTAATATCTGTCTCTCTGATGTGCACCTTGTTATCACTGAGGGTTCTTTTAAAGAGACTGCACTGACCCTGGTTGTTTGGTGTAACATTTTAAGGGTACAGTAATTTTTCGAGCTACAGATGGTAGCACAGGTACTGGTATTTACAGTCCAGCAGCAGGAGGTTATTTGTAACTAAGAGCAGCTTTGTGAACAAAATCCAAAATAAATTCTTGATTCTTCTCAAGCGCTAAAGGCTTTTTTGTTTCCTTTTTTGGCAGATGAACAACTCTACACTCTCTCCTGTCGATGTGGTGGGAATTACAGTGTCCTCAAGAGCAAAACCAAAGATGTGTCTCTGGTTTGTTGTGACACATGTTCACTTGTTATCGAGATCCTTCAGTGATTGTTTAAATGAAGCTCATTAACTGTTACAAACTTTTCAAAAGCCTGGACAAACAAGTGGCAGCATCTGCTGAGGAAATCTATGTTAAAGAAAAGGGGGGCACTACAAGAACAAGGCTTAAAACTGTCAAGTGCCCCTTTGCTGACACAGACCTGCAGACATGGAGGTTGGCTGTTTTTAACTTCTGAAGCCAAAGAGCTCGTTCCTAAACACCTCCAAAGCAGAACACCGAGTTGTTTACCACTGGAATGGATCTCGTGATCTAAACAGTGTTTCTTTTCCAGCAAACAACAAAGTAGGTCTTTCCATTTCAGCCTCTGTCAGCTGTCCCTTGGGCCCTTCCTCTGAGGTTAAATCCTTTCGGCAGCTCAGATGACAAAACTCAATCAGGAGGCATAAATGTGAGAATGCTTTCAAGATAATGAAGAGCAAGGTGCAGGAATGGGAAACAGGAACATGTTCTATTTATAAGCTAAATATTTAACCTCATTAAATCCCCTCAAGGACTGAACCCAGGAAAGAGGGGCAGAGGCTCACACATGGGACAGGCTGGTTGTCCCAGTGCTGAGGAGCAGGTCCAGTGGCTCTGCATCCACATCACCTTGTCAGCTTGGAGCAGAGCACACTTTGGATTGAGTCTCTCCCTCATCTGAACAAATGGAACCAGGAAGTTGTGCTCTGACCCTACTGGACATACAATCCACTGGGCAGGGAAAACCCTACAAACACCTGTGAGTGACCAGCAGATCCAGAATCCCCCTGGTGTTCAGTTCCAATCCTGGCATGCTGATGTAGGCAGAGTCTGTGTGGGGCTCTGGCTGGGTGACAACACTGTGCCTTTTTCATCCCTTGGTAACAGTCAGTGCTAACCTTGGCTTGTAGTAAAAACCCAAAGCTTTCTAATAAACCCAGGCACTGACTGTGACTCACCAGAGGAAGCAAGAAGCCTGTCATTTTTGGTGATGACAGCACTGTATCATTCCCACTTTCAAGTTAAGATGTAATCTCAGAAAGAGACGTCTCTGTCAAGTAATATCTGTGTTTATTCTAAACAAAAATAGTTCCATCAATTTTAGTAGAAAATATTAGGAAAACCGGCAAGAGTAACTTAAATCTTTTAATCGTCAAGAAATCTGTGGCCGTTGGGGCTTGCACGGAGAAATCCAAAGTCATTCAGAGGCCAAAGCTGTAAAATAAAATACAAGAGATTTTAATCACAACTCCAAAGTTCAGTGTTTTCATTTGTTATTGTTGTGTTTCATTAACAGCATATTTTTTCATCTCTTTGGTTGACAGAGTAAAGAACTTTCCTCACCCGTATGTTTCTCTTATGGGGAGTAATAAATACTGTATTTCCCAGGGAATCATTCCAGAGTGGCCAGACACAACACTCATTTATACAGGGCACGCTTTGCTATGGAGAGCCTCACAAATTTCGTTGCTGTTTTCAGCCTTGGAAATAAATATGTTCCTAAAAAATATCTTTCAAATTCAAAGTTTTCTAGCTTGTAAACTTCTTCATGACTTAAAACACAAGGTATATATTCTTTGATCCATCTGGGCAAAAAAAAGAACACCATGCACAGGGTCCTCCCGGTTGTGAGGTGGACATTTGTATTTTCAAGATGAGCCTTTGAACTGCAAACACCAAATATTGGGAAAAAAATATCTATAGGCAAGTTTATACCATGCAAAGAGGTATAAAGGGTGGAGGCCCTGCCACCATCAGGGCTCTTGACCGAGGGGCTCCTCTGAGAAGGGGACAGTTATTTACCAAAGAGCACGACTCATGGCCAAGCACAAGTGTCAGAGAATGATGCTGACCAACAACAAAACAACTTCTCTACAAAAAACCATATAGTTGTTCATAATACTGAGGGCTCCCAGGAGTACCTGGCTCTGGACATTCACTAATTACATGTAGGATGGTCTTGGATGCAAAAAAAGGTAATAGGAAACCAAGGACATTCTTTTACACTTTGTCCTTTGTCTCCCTTGACTGCCTGTGTCTCTTCACACCCCCTTTCAAAGATGGCACGAGGGGATCAGCAGGAAGAAGGGAAAGATGCTGCTGAAGAATGAATGCCCTCTGTGGCTCTAATCCCATAAAAATTTCACAGCCCCTGCCCAAGGTGAAGGGGCCTAGACAGAGAAGGATGATGCACTACCTTGTTCCCACAGCATCTGTCAGTCTTATGTTTATCTTGCTCATTTTTCCTTAGAATTTGATCTTGAGGAAGGTACACAGTCACTGTCCAGGAACAGCCACCTACTCTGTGCCTGAGTTAATGGAACAGCCCCAGCACAGAAGGACTCTTTGCTGCTTTCTGTGTGGAGTGAAGAAGGAATTTTCTCCTTTCAAAGAGGAAGCACAGTGCCAAGGTTCAATTATTTCTAACCCTATGATTCATCCCCAGCACTGAAGACCATGACAGAGGGGGCAGAGAGAGAGTTAAGGATGGGAATGGCAGGACACAGCATCATTCCTGCTGCCTGGGGCTGGGCACTGCTGGAAGCTGCCTGGGCTCGCCTCTGACAGGCCCCTTGCAGCACTGTGCTGAGCTGGACTGGGCCTGGGCCCTGGGCAAGGCAGAAGGATGTGAGTCACACTCAGGACCTCAAGTTCTGTGGATCAGCAAAAGGCTCAAAGCTCCCCTGTGCAAGTACCTTAGAGAATCCCCGTGGGTTTGGCACGTGCAGGGAGGGAAGAGCACGAGGAACATCTGCTGATACACAAAACCACAGAGGTAACACCTTCTCTCTGTGCAGATCAGCCAGGGAGCTATTTTAAGGTCCACACAAATCTACAGAGATACAAACCAGCAACAGAAGGATATTTGTGATCTTGGTTAGAAGCAAAGCCATGGAATCCAAGGCTGTCCAGAGGGCCTGTGCTGGCTGCAGGCTGGGTGTCAAGTCTTTGTTTGGCCTCGAAGGCAAACAGAAGTAAAAGGAAATAGAAATATCCCATATTACAAATCTAAGCTGATCTGAGTAAGGGCCTGGAGAAGGAAGTTTGTTGGGCCATTCACTACAGCACAAATCTCCTTTCAGGCAACTCAAATCACACCTATTGCAACTTGACTTTCTTTTAGTGTAAGTAATCAAATTTGCTTTAAATGCTGCTTTGACAATTCAGCTTCAAACTCATCGCAGTAATCTTAGTGGTAGAGTTCAAATGAAAATGGTGTTTTATGTACTCTGCCTGCAGGGAGAACTTGAGAAAAAAATACTCATGGTTGGAAATGGGATGGAAATCCTTCCTCTGTGAAACAAAGACATGCCACTGTGTCGTAATTCCCAAGTCCTTTAAAGTTATGACAGAAGTTGACTGTGACTTGTTCATTCAGACTGGCTATTCCAATTAGCAGCTCCTTGCCCTCTTTGGTTTGGCCTACATAGATAGATTTGATCTGATGGACGGGGCATAAATGGGGCTAACTAGCTCTTTTGAAGGTACACTACAGGTCTAGTTTTGACATGGAGCCTAAATCCAGGGAATGCACAGGATATCCTACCTAGGACAGGATGAAGCACGAGCTCTGTCAAAGTGGGACTCCCAGGGATTTTACTGAATTTGCAGCTGCTTTGATTTCAGTGGTCCCTTTATGGAATGAACTTGCCTCTTGGAGTGGCACTGGACATGGTGGCATGGAGGGAAAGGAGCAAAGATAATTATTTCCCTGTGGGTTAAATCTGGGGCACCAACAGTGACTGACAATCTTCTGTCTAAACTTCACAGATTAACATTTGTGTTCTACCAAGGACAGGCTGTCCAGACAAACTTGGGATGGCTAAGCTCACTCTCTTCTGCTGAAATCCGTGAAATTACTTCCAAATTAGCCTTGGGTTTGTTTGCATCCGTTCCTAGAAATGTAACTTAGTGTTGAGAGGCATCTGCTTCTCCAAAATCCACTCCATGATAAAGCCACAAAAGCTTCCATTCTGAAGGCAGTAAAGAAGTGTTTCATGAAGGAGAAGCCAAACCTCCAGACTCTGCACTGAAAGCACACACAGGTTTCTTGGCCAGTGGTCTCCTGATTATCCATCCCCCACCATGCAGACTGAATTCTGCTGCCTTTCACTGTAATGTTCAATAGCAACACACAGATCACTGTACTCTGATGGGAATTACCATAAACAACCCAAACTATAAACACTCACTTGAAGAATAAACTCATTTCTGCTTTTGTTAAGCACCATATACTTAAATCTCATGAAAAGATAAATAATAACTACTCTATGCACCATCATAGAACAACGGCAATTAAATCTGGTTAAATCATTACTCTGATTAAGTATCAAGTGATTGCTGACTATCTCTTTTAACAGGCAATGTTCTGGAGTCCTAAAGCAGTACTTCAATATGCATTATCTGTGTGTAAGTTCCACTCATTTTAGAGTTTACTTAGGGTTCAGTCCTGACAGTCACTTCAGTAAAGTCTCTCGAACACCTTCCTTGTCAGGGTACAAGCTGGACACAAATCTCCTGGTGTGGAGAGATACTGTGACTAATTGTGGCTGTCCCCATACACAGGTTCTTGGTATATACAGCATTTGCCAACAGTCCCCTTACAGTAGCAAACAGCAGTTTTTCTATACCTGTACACCAGTTTGGAGAAATCTTTTTTCAGTCAGATTATTAATACCACATTCTCATTAAGAGGAGCGTCAGCATATTTGCTTTTTTTTTTTTTTGCATTTGTATCTTAGCAGTTAATAATCCCAGCTAAAACCTGGGGTCATAAAAATAGCCCCATTTGGAATCAGCATTTTTCCCTCTGGTGTACACAGGAAGGCAAACAGTGCAGGGAAGGGACAGAGAGCCCTCAGTAAACACCAGGGAAGAACTCGAGCAAATGCTGGCCAGGAAGAACAGAGGTCAGACAAAACTTGGCAGCAGGGCTGAGGGGGACATGTTTGAGGTTTACTAAGCAATTACTGATTGTGGTCAATAGCTGCAAGGTTAGTTTTGGTTTTTTTTAGGTTAAGTAAGTCCCAAACTGTGTTCATAAATACTGTAAATTAAGAACATAAGACTGTTAAATTGGAAGGATCCAATCTTCCCTGTGCGTGTGTTAAATGATGGTTTTGTGGATGTGTTGAGAAAACCTTTTTTATTGGTTTGATTGAACAATTTTAAATCCAGCTTTCTAAAAGCAGGTGCATAAGTCTGTAATACATACTCCCTTCTTTCTTAGATTAAACTTTTCATTGAGAAGAAGTTGTATTACTTTCTTCTTTTTGGTAAAAGAGTAAATTAATAATGCAGATAATATGAAAAAGTAATTTAGTGTGACATAAAACTGCAGAATTGTTAAAACAAGAGAAGGAACCGTGGTGGTTTATACAGTACAATATTCATCACTGTTAAAGCTTTTTCACTTTTTTTAGTTTAAAAAGCAGCAAGGCCAGTCTACATGTCTAAAGTAGGTGTGCAAGTCCCAGAAAGAGGACCTTTTTTGTTTTTTGGACTGGAGAGCTACACGAACAGTGAGATGCAAATACAAATAGAGATGCCCTTCTCTACCATTTTGCAGAGGCAAGAATCAAAGTAAGGATGGAATGTACATCTGTGCAGCAGGGTGTTTGTGTTTTTATCAGGTTTGGATTTGCTTGTGAAATAATTCACTCAGCTTTCAGAGCAGTGAGTGCTCAGGGTGCTGCTCACAAGTCCTCCCTCCAGAAAACCCCGTCGTTGTTGAGTTATCCTTTCACAGCAAGTGGCTGGTGTGTCCATGCTTTCCTCCACATCTGCTTTGGCCAGGCAGTTAAGGAGGCAACTTTCAATACCTGACACCCAGCCATTAAAAATGTACTAATGCACCTATTTTTAGATACTATAAATATATATATACCTTAAGACAAATGCGTCCTCTTATCAGTCCGTAAGGAACGGGTCCGTAGCACCTGGAATCTGTAGAATTCCTGAGATTATCACCTTCTAACCAAACATGTCCTTTAGGCACCTGTGGTTAAGCAAGATTGAAATGTAATAAGAAAAGAGAACAGAATGGCATTAAGCACAGTCTGCCTTACACCACCGTATTTTCTGATTTCTGAGCTCTGTATTTCATGACTGTGTGATGAACTGATTTTTTAGCGAATCCAGTAAGACACACTGCCAGATTTGGAGGGATGAGAAGGAGTGCTCCAAAGTATCTGTTCTATCATGTGCTCAAAAACCAATGGTTTGCAACAAAAAACCCAAAATGAAGATGTAAGAGGTTAGACCAATGTGACAGGGTCATTAATTTAATAGACTTCAAAAGAGGTCATTAGGATGTTGACTGAAAATCTGCCCTCCTGTCGCAGTAACAGCATGAACAGGGCAGCCACACACTCATCAACATCCTGGGGCCAGCACCAAGGCTAGACCTGTTAGTAGATTCATGATGAACTAACTGGTAATTGATTGTGACATCAATTACGAATAATCTCATCATTTTATCGGAGTAGGCTTGTCAAAGTTCTAATTAAGATCACAGTTCATTCTATGTGCAGGCAGAATCCACAACACATTATATTGCAATAATGATGATCACAAAACAGCAAATCCCTTTTTATAATTTGAAAATTAATGATGGTGACCTTATACTATATGACAAAGACCTTTCATTGCCCATATATATTATGCATTAACTATATTACATACCATAGATTCATGGCATTCACTGGCTGACTCAATGACAAAATGAGAAATAGCAACAGAGCTGTATTAGTTACCTAAATGAGAGTATAAAGCTTTCAGATATGAAAAAGTTGCTCCTATAAGTCTTAAACTAAAATTTCTGATTGGAAGGGAAAACACTATTTTGTCATGTTTTCTTGAAAACATTTCAGATGCAAATAACCTCTTATAAATTACCAAATAAAATCCTTAATAATTCTAATTGGGTTTTGTTTCTAAAATTCTAAACCAGGCTGATAATTTAAAAGAAGCAACATAATCTAGATAATATTTAATATGGACTTTAAATTAACATACATTTTTCCAAAACCACGTATGTACTTGAAACATTATTAATACCACAATTCAGAGAAAAAAAATATGGAAACTAGCTAAATAAACAAATTATTTCAAGTGAAACTCAGAGTTTGAGCAGTATAAACATGAATGTTTTGGAATTAAGCCACACAGACTCATAAATACAATAGTCTACATAAAGAGAATTCATGGATAAGAGACTAAACAAAATGAAATGCCACTCTTGGTGTAAAGTCTGGTTGTAAAAACCCAGGCCCTCCATTTGAGGACAATGTAGTTGGAGTGTGATTTGTTCTCAGAGGTGTCTGGCCAGGGAACACTTCTTGGGAACCTTGTCTTTAATGAGCTTTTTAGGCTCCTGCTTAGCCATGCTCCCACGTGGTGTTACCAGACCAGGATCCAAGGATGGAACACTATTCCCAGAGCCCCTTTGCTGAGCCGTGGCAAATGGATAAGCTAGGGATTGAGAACCAGTGGTTTGTCTCTGACAGTGGCAAAGTGGGATTACTGACCATGGAAAGCACAAGTGAGCCTGTCCGTCTCCTCCCTGTATTTCTCTGGGAGCCAGGAAAGGTGCTTCAGGCCTGTCAGAGGGCACAAACCTCCTCATTTTAGAGTCTACAGTGGAGCTGTAGACCAGCAATATGTCTAAACCCTTTTGAAACCTACTGGTCTCCTTCCAGAGTGTCCTGTATAAAGGAAGGCCACCTCCTTTGTTTTAAACTGATCCACTAGTTCAATCAAGCTCCTTTACTTCTTGTTCTGCCACTCCTTCCATACAGGAATTCCAGATTCAGCTTGTCTGTCACCTTTGTTATTTTGTAGGCTAATCAGATTGCTGGCACATGCATGGAAGGCCTTCCTCTGGGAAGACCAGCTGGTTTCAGCTTCATGAATTTGGCCCTCCTTCCACCCAAGCAGATTTGCAAACAAAAAAACCCAACCAGAAGTCAAGTCAAAATAAATAAAATTTAAAAAGACTCTATCCAGAGTCAAAGGAACTGTGTGGAATATACATCTCATCACACATGGACATATATTTTTGGTAGGTCTCTGTTTGAGAATGTACTGACTCCCATTTTCCTCCAAAATTCCATGGTACACAGCCTACCTAGGATGTCCAGATTAGCTGGATATTCATCTTCACTTATTTGCAGTGTACCCACCCTGTGTCCACACCTTACGTGAGTGTGTTTTTCAGGTGTATATCACAACACAGAGCAGTGTCCTCACCCCTCTGGTGCAAACTCTCCTGGTCCAGCCTCTACTGGAATTCCAAGCCATCCATCAAACTACTGGCACTGGGAAAGACTATCCCAGCAAACATACACACAGGAGAAGCAGGAATTACTATGAAAGGGAGAGGGTTTTTTGTTAAATATAAAAGGCAAACCAAGGTTAACATTTCATGTTACTGTAAAAGCATCACTTCTGTTCCACTCCCAGCTGTACTGGTTCCTCTGCTTTCTCACTTCCCCAAATTCACAGGCAGAATGTGAAGCTCATCTTTTATTACCTAAAATAAAGACTCACTCGTAACTCAAGTATATCCAAACACTTCCTAGAACACTTCCCATTTTTCTGCCATGCTCCAAAAGTATGAAAAAAACAATAAATTCCTTTTGCCAGCAATGGCAGAACACTACTTCCAACACTAGGAATAATTACTTGTCTACACAAGATGTTCACAGTTTGCATTCCAGGTAGAACATTTGCAGTAAAGTACCTTCCTACATCCTGAAATTCACCACTTAAGATAACATTTTCTCCGTGGAAGGTATGACAGGCCCCTATACCTCCAAATTTGTCATTTAGGGCACTGTCACAATGTATGATCCATCTAGAGATAGTGCACTGTAATACCTTTGTGTGGTGTCTGTCCACCATCTAGGCACTTCACTACAACCTGGAATTAAGACAAGCAATAAAAATCACAAGAATTACGGGAAAATGTAAAACCAAATACCAGTGACAAACCATAACAATTAAAAAAAAAAATATCAAACAAAGGTTGTTTAAACCCCTCTGAAATAAAAACTAAAGCCAGAATCCTTTAAGGTTTTATGCCCCAAGCCATTCTACACCGTATCACTGATCTCAGTGGAATTACTCACATGGAATAAAGTTCAGTTGGAGTATCAACCTTTGCAGAATCAGGACCCAATCTAAAACACTGCAAAGCTGTGCAAGCCTTGCTGGAACAAGATACATTAACCAAAGAAAAAAAATGAACTGCTGAAAACCTGTATTTTTAGTAAGAGTATATAAATTACACACCAATAGGCTGCTGCTGCCAAAAACCCAAGGCAAAGGGAAAGCCACTTGTGTGACAATTCACAGCCTTGCATTTTGGTATCTACAGGACATGGACAAAATTATTTGTATCCAAGGAGTACAACTGAAAGCACAGTTGCCACTACTGCACACAGAGGGACTGTGGATACAAAAACACAGTGACAAATGGGAGAAGCATTAACTTGGGCTGGGCAGTGTTTCTGCTCTCCCCCACACACAGGCCAGAACTAAGATGTGAAAGTCTCACAAGCCCAACAGCTGAATTCTCACAAGAGCAGTGGGTCACATGCAGAACCAGCAAGTCCTCAGCAGGGCAGGTTCATGCAAAAAGCTACCTCTGATTGTCTGCAGACTCCTCCCTTTGCCTGAGCAACCCCTGTGCCTCTGGTTTTGTGCAGATTATCCGAGGATTTACTTCCAAGGAGCAGCAGTTCTCAGGCAGAACCGGTTGTCTGCGGGGCAGCTTATACGTGTGGGAATAAAAGACACCATCAGACACGACTCTCCCCTTCTCCCTTCCCAGGCTCCAGCACAGGAGCAGACAGACCAGGAGAGCAAGACTGTCCCTGAGAACAACTGAGCTTGAAGCAGCAGCTTCAGATAAATAAATGTCTTTCACCTCAGATAAAATAATATCTTTCCCTGCGACAAACTGGCTAAATTTGCAGAGCTGTTGGAATTTACTCAGTGGCACAGTTAAAGTGGCAAGACTGAAGTACAGGGCAGGTATTTGATGCACACTTAAAGCATAAAATATTAATGAAATGGGGAAGGGGAATCACCAAATAATTATACTCTTCTGGTAGCTTTACATGACACCAAACTTTTTTCTTTGACTACTCTCACTGTCTTCAAACCCAAAAGACGAGAACTGGCATACTAGAAAACTAATATACTGCAAACAAAATTAACAGATTAAATTATCTGCCTCAAAAATACCCCCAAACCCAACTAAAGGAAGACGGGCTTCTGTGGTTTGTTTTTTTTGTTTTGGTGCAGTTTTTGTTTGTGATTTTTGGGGACGTATAAACAGGAATCTCTTGCAATCTCAAAGCACATCAGCACGTACAGTCAGCTGGGAGCAGATGAAGTCTGAACTTTCCTAAGGTCACAGGTATTCACATCACCTCCAGCAATATCAAAGTTTCAAACTTAAGAAGAACTTTAAATCATTGCCATCTTTTCTTTTCAGTTCAGAGGCTTCCTTCTTGAGCTACGATAAGAACTAATCTCAGTGCTGGACAAAAGAATAAAGTCTGCAAGTTCTCATCTATCCCTACTAAGGTCTATTTAAGTGCCTCCTCCTTTGGTACAAGCAACAAATGTAATTGCTTCATGGCCTGCGGGTGTTCACTGAACAAAAGAAGCTTTTGTGAATAAACCACAGGTGTTACCTTTCTTGATTAAAGTGAAATATGATGAAAGATTCTACAATATCGAATGACAAATTTACTAAATACTGATTAAATTGCCTTATTTAAGTAAATTGCATCTAGTTAGGATAAAATATACACCATAGAAATGCGGGAGTTTGTTTTATCGCTCTATACTTAAAGTCTCACATAACTACTCCTTAATCCTTTATTTATTAATTCAGCACCAAGACTGAATAATGCTTAACAAATCCTTTTTTTAATGATCCAGTTGCTCTAGGCACTGTTTCTGTAGGCTTATCATAAATGTTGT